ATTGTCAGTTGTTGATATGTCTTTTAAGTCTCTTGAGATTCTCCCTCCATCATTTTTGGTTTTGTTTTTTTGCAGTTCACTTGTTCTGTAGTTTCATAGTCTGGTTGTACTTGTTTTTACATCCCCAGGTGAAGTTTAACAAATTTCTTCATATTCTGCATTTCCTATAAATTGTTAATTGGATCTAGAAATGAGAAGCCCCATTTTTTTTTTGTACTTTATATATCATGTTATTAAATGTTTTAAGTGTAACTTGGTGTGCTCACTAAAATATCATTTTAATGATCACATTTAATATGTAGTACTTACTCACTAAAATAACATTTTATGATGATGTTTAATATGTATACATATAATTTAATCTTTGTGGACATCAGAGTCAAAGATCAAAGGAGCCAGCATTCAGTCTCCTCACAGGACAACTCGTTTTTAATGTCAAAGTTTCATTGACCTTCCCACAATAGTTGTACTCTTAGTATTGATTGATTGAGAAATATTGGAAAGGACAAAAAGCTACCATGAATTCAAGAATGCTTTTAAAGAGTTCTGTGTCTTATTGATCATAACAGCTGCACACATATTTGGAATGTGGTCAAAATAATTTGTGAGACTTTTTTTTATTGCTCATGATGAGTATAGCTTCAAAAGGCCCTAGTAGTAACTCCCTGGACCTCCAGGGTCTGGGCGCCTAGGCTGGGAATGAACATGAGAGTTAGAATTTCATAATTTGGGTCCCAAGTTCACCTTCAGGCTGTATGAGCTCAGGCAACTTTCTTCACCTCTCTGAGCTTCACTGACTCATCAGCCAGATGGTGACAAAAGCAATGACTGACTCATTGGAATGTGTGAGTCTTAAATTGTGGATATCAAACTTCTTTACAAACTGTAAAGCCCTGTCCACGTTTTGGTTTGTATCCATTCCTTAGTTTGTTTGCATTTCCAGTGAGACCTGGGACAAGAAATTCATCTGAACCTTTGTTTTGCCATCTGTGAAAGTCTGTAACATGAGGAGGTAATGTTGGAATATCTCCAATACTCTGCGATTCAGTCTCTCAAGGGACAACGCCATGGTCCAAAACAAAGGTAGAAAATGGTTTTCATCTCCTGTGCCAACTCTACTGTAATTATTAGAGGTTACCTAAAAAGCCGTCTGAGCAGAATGATAAACCAAACCCAGAGTCAGTGGGAAAAACACTGATTGATTAAGGATGGCTGTAATGGTCATGGATGACACAAAAGTTGTGCCTGTGCCCCGTATTATAATGGTCCAAAGGAGTGAATGTCTAATGGTGAAAGTTAATCTGCAGCTCCTAAGGCCTTAGCTCTAGCAGCTCTGTCCCCTTGGCTGAGTTGCCGTGGTAACCACAGCTCGCTCTGAGAGACCACAGGAATGAAGAATGGGTCCTATTGATGAATTCTGACCCAGGAGTGGGGCATGCAGAAGGCACTTCCAGCAGTCAGCTGGGCATGGCCTAGTGCTGCCATCTGTGGTCTTTCTGCCTGCAGAGAACACCAACCAGAGAGCCAGGGCATGGGTGTGTGTGGGCATGTGTATGTGGGCGTGTTGCGGCAGGGTATGGGGCACAGAGGGCAGTGCCAGCAACTGGAATTCAAGTTTTGTGTAGGGCCAGCCAGGCAAGGCTGCCTGTAGGACTCCAGTGGGCTTTCTGAGTTTATAATTTTTTTTTTTTCCTTTTTGTCTTTTTTCGTGACCGGCAACGGATCGCAACCCTCAGTGTCGCGCCCATACCGGACCGGGACTGGCAACGGGATCGCAACCCTCGGTGTTGCTCCCGCTTCTCGCTCAGCCAGTGAGCGGCCGGTCTGTATGTGGGATCCGAACCCTCGGCGGGAGCGCCGCCGCGCTCCCAAGCAGCACACTGTAGCAGTGCGCCACCGGGCCGGCCCGGCTTTCTGAGTTTAGATCTGCCCCTTATGCTCAGTGTTTCACCCATCTTTGCCCAGTGCCTGCCCAGGCTCTTGCATGGAGCCATTGACTCAGCTTTAAAAGAAATCAAAATGGCCATCAATTCTAATCCAAAATCCAGTTCCTAAATCACTTTCCAGTGCCTTAAGGCCTTGAATACTTCAGGTGATGGGGAGCTCCCTCCTTCCAGGGGTAGCTTTTTCTTCTTTAGGAATGTCCTCTGTTTGAACTGAAGTTTTTTTCTGTGTCCCTAACTTACATCTGTCAGTACTAGGAATCCTTATCAGGCCCAACTTGAACAAATCTATTTTCTTTTCAGTAGGACAGCCTTCGGAGTGTTTGTTGCTAGGGACCCGGCACCGCTGGTCCCACGTAGTGGGAAAGACACCCAGCTTTAGCTTTTTCAGTCAGTTAACTAGTTTCTCAGAGCCCAATTCCAAATTCCTTGGAGAAAGAGTGTGATTGGTCCAGCTTAGGTCAGGTGTCCAGCCCTGGTCCAGTCAACTCTGGCTAGAGCAAACAGGTGCAAGGGCCTGCCTCTAAGAGGGATGGAGGGCAGTTTTCAGACAATGGGTGTCATAGGATGGGAAGACTCTCCAAAAGGTGTCTAGAGCGTGGACACAGTCCTCTTAGGTCTGTGTTCCAGGTCTTTGCAAAACATCATTCATTTAGGTAAACATTTATTGAACACCTTCTGTATGCTAGGCACATGGATCTGCCCTCTAGGGAGTTTTTATTTATTTATTTAGATTTTTTTTTTAAAGATGACCAGTAAGGGGATCTTAACCCTTGACTTGGTGTTGTCAGCACCACGCTCTCCAAATCAGTTAACTGGCCATCCCTATATAGGGATCCCGTGGCCTTGGTGTTATTAGCACCACACTCTCCCCCAAGTGAGCCATGGGCCAGCGCTTCTAGAGAGTTTTTAAACCTTTCTGGAAATTCTTCATATCTTTCACCTGCACTGTATTTCGGAGTGAAATCATAGCTCCTTTAATTACTTTTTAGCTTTCCGAGTTTCAATATGGGGATCAACGGATTTGGCAAACACGTTTCCCCATCTGGATCTCTATGAATTATAGAGATATCCATGTCTTTCCTTTTGTCTTTGTCTCTCCAGTAAGAAGCATCTTAGTTCTATCACCAACTCAAATATGGCACCCTCTCCTCAATCTGCCTTCATTCTTCTGCCCTGGGGCGGGCCTCCACTGGCTTCAAACATGAAAGTAATTCAAGTTCATAACCAGGGAGGAGAACGTTGGGTTTCTAGTTCCTGTAGGAAAAGTACCTAGAATTTGACAGTGATAATAATGATCATAGGTACTTTCATTGAGGACACACCCTGTGCCCAGCACCAGGCTTAATCCTTCACATGCATCATCTCATACATGCAATCCTCATAACAACCCTGAGAGGTAGGCATTATTTCCCCCATTTTACAGGTGGCTAATCAGGAAGCTCAGAGAGAATAGGCAACTTGCTCAAGGTCATACAGCAGCTGAGTAGTGGAACTGGGCTTCAAAACCAGACCCCCCTTTACTCCAGAGGCTTCCCACATGCCAAAGGCCCCCGAGAGCACTCCATATTACCTCCAAGGTCTGCCCCTGTACATATCCTCCTGTGAGTATCATGTACAATCTCTGGAGATACTATTCCGAATGTGTTTACTAACTCCTATCACATTGAAGTAAGACTTCTGGTGAAATTAAAGTCTGATCCCATTTTAATCACTGAACAAAACAGCCAGGGCTGCGGTCAGGATGGGGCCGTGGTGGATGGATGGAGCACTGTACTGGGGCACCTCCTGGAAGCCCAGTTCTGCTGCTACCCCACCATGTGACTTTGGGCAAGGCCCTCCCCTCTCTTGGCCTCAGTTTCCTGTGACTCTGTGGCTCTGTGCATCCCTTCTAGCTCTGACATTCTGTACTTCCAAGTTAACTACATTTCACCATAGTCTCATGAGGTTGGCAGCTTTCACGCCCCACTGAAAGAGGGAGTGTGTCTAGGAAGTTTCCCACCTGAGGTGTGGGAGTCCTGCTTCTCCCCATCGTATCTTCTGGACCTTCCTGCAGTCTGATGGTTGTTCTGCATCCCCTGGGCTTTGGGTTGTCTGATATCATCCCACTGGTTCTCCCCAGTAGCTGGTGGGCAGGGGGGATATTATGATCCCTCTACCTTCTCTCATCAACTCAGACCCAGGTATCTGAAAGCTTCCAACCCCTCACAGCCCACCCACGGTATCCCACCCTCTTCCTCCTCATCCTCACTTACTGTTTATTGAGCCTGGGATTTGGCAAACAACTGTTCCTCTGTCTGTGTTTTTTGGGACCCTAAAGATGTCCATGTCCTCTCTTCTGGTCTTTTGCTAAGCATCTTGTACACATTTGTCAAATCATTAATCCTCTCAGCAACTCCTTGAGTCCACAGTATCATCCCCATTTTGCAGACAAGGCACTCAAAGCTCAGAGAAGTTAACAGCTTTGTATAGATTGACACACTTATTAGTGCCAGAGTCAAGATTTAAACCCAGGTCTAGCACACCCCACTCTGCCACAGACCTTTGAATTGCTATGTTGACTTGGCCTGCATTGGTGTTTGGGAGAATAGTCTGTGATCTTCCTGGAGTGGTGTGACTGGTCTGTGATTTCTGGGTGCTCTAGGTGGAAGAGGATGGTCTATTTGTGTTTAGTAGGTACATGGAGACCCAGGGACAAGTTCCAGAGGACAGCAAAACAGTGTTTGGACAGTGGGATCTTGGAGTCAGGGTTCCTGCAGAAAGGACCCCTTTCCAGCTCGGCATGTCTGAACCTCTGTCCGTGTTTGCTTCCAGATTCTGGAAGGAGACCAAGCCATCCTGCAGAGAATAAAGAAGACTGTGCGGGCGATCCACAGCTCCGGTCTTGGTGAGTGAGCCTGCTTGGTGCTCAGCCTGGCCAGATTAGCCCCTTTCCCAGCTCCAGCCTGGGGCTAACTCTGAGCTCCCTTCCCTACCCCCACAGGCCATGTGGAGAATGAGGAGCAGTACCGAGAGGCTGTGGAGTCCTTAGGCAACAGCCACCTGTCCCAGAACAGCCATGAGCTGTCCACAGGCTTCCTGAACTTGGCTGTGTTCACCCGTGAGGTGGCCGCACTCTTCAAGAACCTGGTGAGGCCCCTGCTCCTTCCTCAACTAGCCCTCAGCCTAGGCTTAGGGTAAATCTAGTGGTCTTATCACCTGACCGGGAAAGGGTCAGTTTCCTCCCTTTTCCTAGTTTGCCCTTGACCTCTGACGCATGACCTGAGGTCCCTTTCTAGCTCTGACCCACCTTTCAAATTCTCTTCCTTTCTCTGACTGCTTGCCCAACTCTTCTGTCTCTGTTCTTTCTCTTCATCCAGGAGCGAAGGGGGGTCTTACTGTAGGGGAGAGCCCCATGTGAGGGAGGGTCCCCTGGAGGAACTTTGGGAGAAGGGAGGGACAGACTCGGGGGTTCCTGCCTTTGTAGCAGCACTGCTGCCACTGCCACTGCCTTTCCTCACTCCCTCATCTTCCGCTTTCCCAATGACATCTGCTTTGTCCTCATATCCCAGAACCTGCCCTCGCCTCCAACAGCCTATCAGCCACCACACACAGACAAGTAGCCTCAGGTTTCTTCCTGATGGCCTCCTTGGTGATTGCCTCCTCCTCGGCCGTCAAGTCCTAACATTGAGGTCACCCCATCATACCAGCTTTTTCTCCACATGGGCATAGCTCTCAGCACTTCACATGTGTTAGTGCATTCAATCCTGGTGCACTGCTGTGTGGCATTGGTATTACTGTTGTCTCTGCTTTACAGGCTGGGAAATTAGGACAAAGAGGTTAAGCAGCTGTGTGAGGTTCTCCCACTGGGTTTGGACTCAAGGTCTGGCCCTGGAGTCTGAGCACAGCCTGGCTGTACTGCTCCCAGGAAAGCCTCCTCTTTCCCTCCAAACTCTGTGGCACTGGACTGACCCGCACGGCTCCAGCCCTGCCCAGTGTCCTCCCTGGCTGGCAGGGGCCACATCATCTCCATGAGGCAATGTGCTTAGTGGCAAAGTACCCAACCTCGGGCTGAGAATCTGCCTAGGAATCCCTGCCCTGTTGCTCGTTTGGTCAGGTCACTGAAGCTGCCTGGGCCACAAGTCTGTCATCTGTAAAACTAGGATGATAACAGTACCCACCCTCAGAGTGGCAGTGAGGATTAAGCAAGCTAAGTGCCCCCTCCAGTGTAAGTGCTCAGTAAATATTGAGATGGCTAATATTGCTGTCTGCTGTCATTATACCTCTCTGCATGCCTTGTACACTGTCCTGCTTGTAGAGGCCTTTAACATTGTTTGAGCTCAAATGAATTAGTGTCATTTAGGAGCTTTGGGAGAAGGGAGGGACAGACTTGGGGGTTCCTGACTTTGTAGCAGCACCACTGCCACGACCTCTGCTCATACCCTCTTTGTCTTCTGCCTCTCCTCTCTCTGTTTTCGTCAAACTAGTATTCCCTGAGAATCTACTCTCTGATGGGCATTGATTGTACCAGGGGCTGGTGACACAGAAAAGAGTCGGTCTCTGGGCCGGCCCGGTGGCGCACTGGATAGTGCGCCGCTTGGGAAGCGCGGCGGCGCTCCCGCCCAAGGGTTCGGATCCCACATGCAGACCGGTTCCCGCTCACTGGCTGAGCGAGGCGCGGGGGCAACACCGAGGGTTGCCATCCCATTGCCGGTCCCCGGTCTGGTGCGGGGGCGACACTGAGGGATGCGATCTGTTGCCGGACACGGAAAAAAGACAAAAGACAAAAAAAAAAAAAAAAAGAGTCGGTCTCTGGGCCGGCCCGGTGGCGCACTGGATAGTGCGCCGCTGGGGAAGCGCGGCGGCGCTCCCGCCCAAGGGTTCGGATCCCACATGCAGACCGGTTCCCGCTCACTGGCTGAGCGAGGCGCGGGGGCAACACCGAGGGTTGCCATCCCATTGCCGGTCCCCGGTCTGGTGCGGGGGCGACACTGAGGGATGCGATCTGTTGCCGGACACGGAAAAAAGACAAAAGACAAAAAAAAAAAAAAAAAAAAAAAAAAAAAAAAAAAAAAAAAAAGAGTCGGTCTCTGCCTCAGAGAGCCACAGTCTAACAGGGAGACAAGAACTGAGGTGTGGGGCAACGTCAGGCAATACCAGCAGCATGGCACAAACTTGAGGACCCAGCAGGTGTGGGGGTCAGGGTCTATTGCTGCCATGGTTCAGAAAAGGGAAGGTCAGCATAGGTGGGGGGGCAGAAGTGGTCAGGAGAGGCTTTCTGGAGAATGGGACACCCAAGCTACCTTGAAAGGTTGAGGGCTGGCCCGTGGCTCACTCGGGAGAGTGTGGTGCTGATAACACCAAGGCCATGGGTTCGGATTCCATATATGGATGGCCGGTTAGATCACTGGGTGAGTGCGGTGCTGACAACACCAAGTCAAGGGTTAAGATCTCCTTACCGGTCATCTTTTATTTAAAAAAAAGAAAAAGAAAGAAAGGTGGGTTGAAATATTACACAGGCCTTTTGGGGTTGTGAAATGACAAGAAACCCAACTCAAACTAGGTTAAATTTTTAAAAAGAAATTCATTGTCCCCAGTGATGGGGAAGCTGGCTATAGGCTCCTTCCTTTTGTTTTAAATGGTTTTCCTCTGTCTCTGCTTAGTTAACAAGACAGCCCAGCAGGCCCAGATGCACATCTTACCAGAAGAAAGACACAGTTTTCTTCTCACACTTAGGCAGAAAAGTTCCAGGGAGGATCCTGATGGGTTGACTTGGGTCATGTGCCCATTCCTGATTCATTACTCTAGCCTGGGGATGGGGTGCTGTGGTCAGATCTGACTCCTGTGTTGGCCCCATCTGACCACAGAGAAGGGGTTCCCCACAGGAAAGGGGGCTTTGTTACCATTAGAAGGCAAGAGGAGGAGCTACCCAGACCAAAACAACAGATGTGCACTACAGATGGACTTGAGAGTCAGAGAGGGGAAGAGAGGGGCTTCTGGCAGAGAACAAGGGTGAGACTAACTGAGGGGTGCTCCTGGAGCAGTGAGGCGATGAGGCTGGAGTGGACTCCGAACCCCCTATACTCCCCCCCTGTGATCCCCCCTCCCCTTCCATCTCTTTCTCTCCCCTGCTTCCTTTACCCCCTTCGTTCTCCTTTGCCTCATGCTGCTTCACTGTACCCTGAGCCCCTTGGGGCTAGACAGGCAGTCACCCAAGACATGGATGGGGGTCTCTGTTTTTTTCCAGGTTCAGAATCTGAACAACATTGTCTCTTTCCCCCTGGACAGTCTGATGAAGGGGCAGCTGAGGGACGGGCGACAGGTGAGTTTTCATGTGGGAGTGGTGGTGGAATAGAGTGAGAAAGGGGTGGGCAGGAGACCAGAGGGGAGGTGGGCTGGGCTGAAGGCAGAGGCGAAGTGAGGGGGCTGTCCTGGTGGGAGTGCTAACCCCACACTGCTGCCCTTGGGAGGACTGGAACACCTGGCTCTGTGGTCAGTCTAGGACAGCTGATCTGCTATCTGCCAGGTCCCTTATGTGAAATATCTGGTGTAAATCTTATAGTGACCGCAGGAGGTAGGTTCTGTAGATACTCTCATTGCCATTTGCAGTTGAGGAGTGAGGCTCAGGGAGTTAAGCAAGCTGCTTATGGTCTACATGGCTAGGAAGTAGAGGAGCCAGTGTGGGAGTCCAGGGATCCTGAATCCCATACTTGAGCTGTTTTCTCTGTGCCTAGCAGCCCCTGGCTGGATGCAGAGTAGAGCTCAAAGAAGGTGACAGAATAATCTCCCTGGGCAGTCTGCCCCAGAAGGCCAGGGGAGGAGCCGTTCTCCCCCAGAGAGTTCCCTCCCTGCCCTAGGCTGCACACCAGCCTGGGAACCACCCAAACCAGACAGGCAGCTTTTTTACCTTGGAAGTCAGGGCTGTTCAGAAGGGTGTGAACAGCCCAGCTGGATGGGGCCCAGGCAAGCCAGGCCAGGGGTCAGCCAGGTCACACTGGCTTGCTGTGTGTCCTGGGGTAGACTTCTCAGCCTCTCTGTGCATATGTTTCTTTACTTATACCCTTCCTGGTAAGAGGATAATTTGGTACCAGTCAGGAGAAAACAGTGGGATAAAGTTAGGGGGGGAATTTGACCTTCATCCTCACATCCTCATCCTCATGGCTGATCTCCATCTTCTGAGAGAGAGGACTCAGGGCAGAGCCCTAAGGTCTCCCTATACCCCAGGCCAGGACTCACCAAACTTGACTGATTCTTGGCTGTTATGGGGAGAATAAGGTCAGATGGGAGAAGGGGTTCAGCCTTGAGAAAGAGGGTTGGTTGGGTCTATTTGGGGGGCAGGTTTGCAGTCAGGGCTCAGCGGGCAGTGGTGGTTGGGGAATGGATCTGAGCAGCATAGGAGAGCATGTGAGTGGGGTTGAGCAGGGTCCCCCTAAAGGTAGCAAAGTGTACTGTTAATTCCAGAGCTCAGGCTTCCCTTTGGGCAAATTGTTCTTTTTTAAACCACAGGATTCCAAAAAACAGCTGGAGAAGGCATGGAAGGACTATGAAGCCAAAATGTGAGTGGTCACAGCCAGGGTGGTTTGTCCAGGAGAGCAGTGTTTGCTGCTGGGACTTGTCACCTAGAAGTGCATGGCATCCCTCTCTCTAGGGGTATTTACAGGAGGTGGTTTACCCAGGCCTGACCAGATTCTGCAGGCTGGGCCTCAAGAACACCAAAGGGGAGCAATTGTGAGGGGATCTCAGGATGCTGCTCTCAGAGACTGGGCAGGGATGGAAAGGAGCCATCATTTACTGAACACCTCCAAGTCCTTTAATCCTTACAGTCGCCCAGCACTGTGAGGGAGGTATTAGTATCACAATTACCAGAGGAGGAATTGAGGCTCAGAGAGGTTATGTCACTTGCCCAAGGCCACACAGCTAGGCAGAGTCAGAACTAGGGTTCATGCTCTTTGCCCCTCCTTCCTCAATGCAGGTGGTATCTATAAACATTTAGTGGACATAGAGGAGGAAAGGGAGTTGATAATCATACCCAGGATTCCTGTGCGTATCACTGGATACTACACATTTCTCACCAGCTACTGGGACCTCATGGGGACAGAAGGAGGCTCAGGCACCCAGTGACCAACTCTTCCTGAGCAGAGGCTCCTCAGACCCTGCCTTCTGAGGACTCTGTACAGGTCCCAGTGCTCTGCCAGTGTCCAGCCAGGCCCCTACCTCAGAGTGTCATTTGCTCTTCTTTATAAAATTTTGTTTTGTCTTGCATTTTGCCAAAGAAATGCATGTTCGTTATGAATAATTTAGAAAATATGGAAAAGTAAAAGAACAAAAAATTTCAGTCATCCTTAGGAGAGGATTAGGGTCATGTGTAGGGGGGTACCTAATACTTCTCTGTTGTTTGAATTTTTTTTTTTACAAGGTATGGGTAGTACTGTAATTTTATCATTTAAAAAGAAAGGTGGGGCTGGCCTGTTAGCTCAGTTGGTCAGAGCACAACCTTGTAACACCAGTGTCACAGGTTCAGATCCTTGTACCAGCCAGCTGCCAAAAAAAAAAAAAGGAAGTTGGAGCTACCAAAAAAATAGCAGAAAAATCCTTAAATTCCAAACCTGAAAGTATTCATATTTTCCATTTATTTTTCTATATATAAAGAAATATCTTTACAAAACTGAGATCATAATAATCATACTGTGTTGTAATCTGTTTTTTCCATTAAAAAATACATTATGACCATCTTCCTACATCATTACATATTCTTATACAACATCCCTTAAATGGGTGTACACAGTGCCAACATATATATAATCCATAATGTATTTAATCCACCCCTTTCATTGGGGAAGCACCCTTGGAACTAAATATTTGCTCCCACCTGTAATTATTTCTGTAGGATCAATTCCAAGAAATAGATCCTGGAGCTTTTATTGTTGCTCCAGCTCCCAGAGCCATGGGTACCTCCCCAAGTCTGAAGGAAGGCCATGCCTTCTCCCTCCACCAGCATCTCCCATCCCGGCTATGGACGTAGATTCTGTGATGAAGCCTGTGGATGCAGCATAACAATCCCCATGGGGCCTCAACCTTGCCTCCGATGGGGCGTGTCTATCTGCTCTCATTAGAGGCCCAGGGGCGGGTGGTGGAGCCACAGGCTATCCTTGTCTTTATGATTTGCTGTGGGGCCACATGGCCCTCTTCTTTCTGAGTTACTTTGATTAAGCCTTAGCGTTCAGGGTATCATCTACCAATGGAAAGAATAAGCCATACCCTACTGACCTTTCCCAAAGCAGGTCTGTTTTATTAGATTTCTGTATTGAGCTTTCCTATAAGATTTCATTTAAAGAAATGTCTTCTTTTAGTTGATGGGGAAAGGGACTTGGCTAAGGTTATTCAGCGAGGTATTGACAAGACCTAAACTAGAACCCAGAGTTTCTGAGTCGGGTGCTCTTTCTGCCATGTTACGTGGTCTCCTGGCTCCTACCATGGAGCTACATAGTTTGAGCTACATGTCCTGGCACAGGTGACTGTGTACATTCCTTTTCATGAGGGCTGCAGGTATGGCGTGATATTAGTGAGCCATAAGCTGCTGTGTAATCCCACCTCATCTTTACCAAACCAGTCTGGGAAGCAGCTGGAAGGCCCAGGGCCCTGATAGCATCTGTTGAATATTACTTAGAGCCTCAGCCCTGGCTGTTCATAGGAAGAGGCTTCCCTCTCCACATGGGGCTGCTGAGAAAGGCATCTCAGACCCTGTGCAGGGGCCAAGTTTTCTAGGCTGTTCCATATACAGGTCTGTGTCCTCATCTGTAAAACAGGGCCAGTGATACCCTGCAGGGTCCACATGGAGATGAAATAAGCACAGTGCATACAAAGTGCCTGGCACTTCAGTTTGACCAGTATTAGCTATCTCCCTGAACCAAAACTGGGACCAGCATGAGGAAGGGACTGAGAGGCACAATCCAAGATGTCTGCTCCTAGCATTTTCCCTGACCCGCTTGTGATCTTGAGCAAGTCATTTTCCCTTCTCTGAGTCTCAGCTTCATCATCTGTAAAATGGTCCCTGACTTTTTTTTTTTTTTTTTTTTGTCTTTTTCGTGACTGGTAAGGGAATCGCAACCCTTGGCTTGGTGTCGCCCGCACCGCACTCAGCCAGTGAGCGCACCGGCCATTCCTATATAGGATCCGAACCCGCAGCGGGAGCGTCGCTGCGCTCCCAGCGCTGCACTCTCCCAAGTGCGCCACGGGGCCGGCCCCTTGACTCTTATCTCTCAGAAAAGACACAGTGTGACTGTCACCAGCTATTGAGAACCAGGCAGGGAAGGGAGATGGAACAAATCTGAGCCACATTGTTGGTTACCAGTGCTGTCTCCAAGGCTCTAGCATGACACAGACCTGGGTTCAATTCCTGCCTCCATCACTTAACAGCTGTGTGACTTGGACAAGTGACTTATTGTCTCAGCCTCAGGCTCCTCGTCTGTAAAATGGGGTAATGATTCCTGCCTCATGGGGTTATCAGTTTAGTATGTGAAGGGCCTAGCAGCATGCCTGGCACAAAATTAACCATTAAAAATAATAATAATAGGGCCGGCCCGGTGGCAATGACGTTTTCCTTACATTACTTACAAAGCATCCCAAGAAGAATGAAGTGCAAAGAGTTTAAAGAAGATATTCAATATTGGATTTGCATCAAATTTTCAAATAAAATATCTTCAAATATGTAAATGAATCTTGAGATGTCCTCTGTGAACGTAACTTTTTTTACACCAGTATATTAGGTTTCCTGCTTGAGAGATGGCCGAGCATGCTCTCTGGCCAGGAACTTTTCCCCAGTCGGCTCTTTGCGCTCGAAAGTGATTGTGGCAGGTGGTAGCAAATAAGGCACGCCAGAGCAGCTGCTGCAGAGACCCCTCTAGTGGCAGGTGGCAAGTCTACAGCGCAAAGTTGCCATGACAGAGGGTGCCAAAATTATGTTCCAATACAATTTCAACTGCTGTTCATTTTCAAATGGTTATGAAAAAATGATTTTGTAGGGCCGGCCCGGTGGCGCACTGCTACAGTGCACCGCTTGGGAGTGCTGTGGCGCTCCCGCCGAGGGTTCGGATCCCACATACAGACCGGCCGCTCACTGGCTGAGCGAGGTGCGGGGCAACACCGAGGGTTGCGATCCCGTTGCCGGTCCCAGTCCGGTATGGGCACGACACTGAGGGTTGCGATCCGTTGCTGGTCACGAAAAAAGACAAAAAGGAAAAAAAAAATAATAATAATAATAATAGCAGTTAATACTCATTTACAGCATCCTTTGTGCCAGGCACTGGGATAAACTCTTTACATTATCAGATTTAGTCCACCTGGTAAGGAAAGGTGCTATTATTATCCTCAATTTATGAGGAAAAACACATCACCACAATCCCTGCCTAAGTGGATCCCACTGGTTTTGTAAGGCACAAGAGAGAATAAAGAATTAAAATACAATAAATAATTAAGATACAAAGTGACAGTGCCATAACGATACTATCAGCACAAGGGTGGCAGAAAAAGCAGGTAGTTTTGTTTAGAAGGAGGGAAGGGTAGTTGAAAAAGGCATCTTGGGAGAGGTGGCACTTAGCCTTGGCTTAAGGTTCAAGGTTGGCAGGTGCTTGATTTGTTTTGAGTCCTTTCCTTCCCATCCCCCTCCTCACTGCACCAAGAGTACCTGATCTTCATCTGTGTGTGCTGTAGTCCCTTCTGCAGTTATCTCTTTTCTTAGTAACTGGCATTTAAGTACTTTTCACCCACTATGTAATTTCATTCCTTCTTCTGCAACTCAAAGAAAATAAAAATATTCTTAACATTCGAAATGTTTTAAAAACGTTGGTAATCCTTTGAGAACAGAAAGGAAATGGGAGTTTTTATTTTCGGGGAGTGGGGGAAGTACTCTCCAGATATTGGTTTGAGGTGTGTCAGGTCATCTCAGGATGACTGTCAGACTTTGTAGGGCAAATCTCTGTGAATTATCATAGCTGAGGCCAAGGGACAGAGCTACGTAATTGACAAAGCCATGCAGAGTACTTCACAGTTTATCTTTACCCTGAACTAAGTAGCTCCATCTTTAATCTCTACTCACGTGAAGAACTAAAAGAAAGCAAAAAATAAGGATGTACCCTATGCTAAATTAATTATCTAAATGAATCACCAAAAGTTATTACTATAGAGCTGGCCGGTTAGCTCAGTTGGTTAGAGTGCAGTATTGTAACACCAAGATCAAGAGTTTGGATCCCTATAACAGTCAGCTGCCAGCCGCCCAAAAAAAAAAAAAAAAAAGGTTATTACCAGAATGTCATCATCACCATCATTAGCATCATCATCACCATCATTATCATCATCATAATCCTGTCATTTGTTAAGGGCTTACCATACACCAGGAATTGTCCTCAGTATTTCCTATGTATTTTAAAATCCAAGGACTATGTATCATTCTTATTCTCGTTTTCAAAATGTGGAAACAAGTTTAGAAAGATTTGTAAAGGTTAAGTGAAGGAACTGCCATTTAAATCCAGATCTACATTTCCAACCACTGTACTATATTGCAGCTTGCCTTTTGTGCATTTACTCTGGAGCAGACGTCCTTCCATGTCAGTACACATAGATCTTTTCCATCCTTTTTAATAGCTGCATAGTTTTCTTATACATGCATTTATCTAACCAATTCCTATTGATAGACATTTAGCATATTTTTCATCTTTCACTATTGAAAGATATGGTAACAAGGTACACCAGGAGATCCCCCTGCAGCCGATCTGTCCACTCAGTCTCCCACCCTCCTTAGCAAGCTGCCAGGCATGTTGTTGCTAACACACTCTAGGCCTTTGCCTCCCCTCTCTGTTGCTCATCCTCAGATCCCTCAAAAAAGCATCTGCTCTGACCCCCAGGCCCGGTTCACAGGGTCAGTCTCCGTCCCAGCTCCACCACCTTTAAACAAACACACAGTTGGAGTCTCAAAAAACTTCTGGGAAAACTTTTAAAAAGTTTAAAAAGTTTGCAGAGCCTTGCTCTAGAGCAAAGTCTGGTTGTCACACCTAGGGGAATGCTACTGGCAGCTTGTGGATAAAGGTCAGGGATGCTGCCAAACATACAAACCACAGGGTACCTTCCCACAACAAAGAATTATCTGGAAAAAATATCAGTAGTTCCAAGGTTGAGAAGCTGCTCTACTGGTCTCCAGGGACAGATTCTGTATATAAAAACATGGGATACATGGTCTTACCTCAGTAAGGCCCAGAACTTCAGAGCCAGAAGAGACCTAAAAATTTATTGTAGGCCATTGCTTCTTCAGTTCACAGATGGGAAAACTGAGGCCTTGAAGGGCCTATAATAACAGCTATTGTGTTTTCTGTGTGCTAAGTCTTTTTTATTCCATGACTCATCTGGAGAAAAGTAAGCCTCCCCATATTACAGATGAGGAGACTGAGGTGGTGCAGAGAGGGGAAGTCATGCAGCTAATAAGCAGCAGAGCCTGTATCAATCCCACTCTACCTTTGTCTTACTGCTCAGGGCTGGCACCTACTTGGGAGCAGAACTGTTAAGCAAGACATCTCCTTTATTTTATTTTATTTTTTTAAAAAGATGACTGGAAAGGGGATCTTAACCCTTGACTTGGTGTTGTCAGCACCACGCTCTCTCAAGTGAGCCATGGACTGGCCCTAAGACATCTCCTTTATATGGCATTCGTGGTCACATGCGCCCAGCCTGAGTTGTGGAAATACTCTCTTGGCTGTGAGTGGGTGGTCTGATGGGTGTGGGATCTCCAGGAAACAATTTACACACAGATCCACCCATCCCCAAAGAGAGAAAACAGCCAGTCTTTGAGATCCATAGGGGGAAGGCCAAGGTTATTCTTAGCTACAGAGATGGGAAGCGCTCTCTGTCTCCACTTAAAAAGAACAGAACAAAGGTTTTCTAAGCTTCAAATGGGAAGCTTAGAAGAATGAAGGCGCTTTGTGGTCTTGTAACCCATGGTCCTAATTCCCTTCTTGGCAAATCAGAACTGGTCACCCCAAATCCCACCTGGTCTTATCTAAACCCATCATGCCCTGCATAAAAACCTTCAAATCTTTCCCACTGGTCTTGGGGGAAAGACCAAGGAGTTTAGCATAGTCTGAATTAGGCCCTGCATGATCTGGCCCCTCTTCAGGTCAGCTGGCACCACCTGCCTCTCTCTCTCTGCATGTGGCTCTGATCCCTCCTGCCTCTGGGCTCACCTGGTCCGATCCTCATGCTCAGTCCTTGCTTTCTCCAAGTTAACTTCTCAGGCTTCAGATTCCAGCTCAGACATTATTTCCTGAGCAGCCGCATCTAGGTTGGACCCCCCATTTTACTCTCCCATAGCTCTCTGCATGGCTGTGGCTTACTTCATGTCTTTCTCCCCCATGACCCTGTGGGTTCCTTGAATCTGCCTTGTTCACCATTGTACCTGCCCCACCACACAGCTGGCACACAGCAGGGCCTTGTGCACTGCATGGCCCCCTCACCCATGTGTCCATGCCAGAGAGGAGGATGTAGGGACTGTCGAGAGTTGTTCAGGCCTCTCTTTCCTTGGAGTCTAGGGCCAGGCTGGAGAAGGAGCGAGATCGGGCCAGGGTGCCAGGAGGGAGCCCTGGGGAGGTGACCCAGGACACGCAGAGAGAGCGGCGTGTCTTCCAGCTACACATGTGTGAGGTATGGGGTACTCTGGGGTGCACATGGGAGTGGGATGTGTCTTCCTCTCTGCCTCTCCTGAACACCTGGGGGCCCAGTCACAGGCTCAGGTCCTGGCCAGATGGCCCTGTGGGATGTCACCAAGGCTGAATCATGGCCAAGAGGATCAGCCTGGGATGGGGACTGCAGCCCCTTGTCCCCAGGATCCAGCTTCAGCTCACATCATACCTCTTCCTCCCCTCCCCCTAGTACCTGCTCAAAGCTGGGGAGAGCCAGATGAAGCAAGGTCCTGACTTCCTTCAGAGCCTCATCAAGTTCTTCCACGCCCAGCACAAGTAGGTATCTTCCCATGTCCTTGCCCCAGTCCTTCAGGTAATGGAACAAGGTCCCTCTCCAGGGTCAGGCAGACCCTCTAGATCTCTTTGAATGTCTGGACCTTGTTGGAAATGCTTTTCACAGCTCCTCTTTATTGAGTGCTCACCATGTGTCAGGCACTAAGTACTTTACACATTTGACCTACCTTCAGTACCTCTGGGAGCATGTACTGCTATTGTCCCCATTTTACAAATGAGAAAACTGAGGCTCATTTACCATGATCACTCAGCTAGTAAGTGAGAGGGATTTAAACCCAGAGACTCTTGACTGTGGAGTGCCTGCTCTTTGCCATCAGATTATACTGCCCCTAGGTGGCCTACGATCCTTAGAGCACCTTCTTCCATACTTCTGGCTTCATCTGTCATTTCATCTTTCTTTGGATCCTTGTTTGGCCTCTGGCACCTCTTAGCTTTTTCCAAGATGGCTGGAAGGCTGCTCAGAGCCTGTCCCCCTTCATCGAGAAGCTGGCAGCCTCAGTACATGCAGTAAGTTGGGCCTCATCCTTGGGCATGTGGTCAAGCCCCCTTTCCCTCTGGGAAAATCTGTGGGTGTGGAAGAGCTGGCCCCTTCCCATAGAGTGAGGCTATTGCCCTTCTGCTCTGGGTTTGGGATCTGTGTCTGGCAAATCTGCTGGCTGGTGATGGGGTCCTATCCTTTGTCACCGTAGCTGCGTCAAGCCCAGGAGGAGGAGCTACAGAAGCTAACCCAGCTCCGGGACTCCCTCCGAGTGACTCTGCAGCTTGACAGCAGAGAGGTCAGCCCCTGAATCATCCCAAAAGGAATGCCTCCCCCACAGCCTGCCATGGAGGGAGGGAAAGAAGGAAGACCCCACAGGGTCCCCTTGAGAAGTCTCCCTGAGTGAGGGCCAGCCCGGTGGTGCACTGCTACAGTGCGCCGCTTGGGAGCGCGGTGGCGCTCCCACCGAGGGTTCGGATCCCACATACAGACTGGTTCCCACTCACTGGCTGAGCGAGGTGCGGGCGTGACGCCGAGGGTTGCAATCCCGTTGCTGGTCCCGGTCCGGTACGGGCGCGACACTGAGGGTTGCGATCCGTTGCCGGACATGAAAAAAGACAAAAAGGAAAAAAAAAAAAGAAGAAGTCTCCCTGAGTGAGCCCCGAGCAGAATGGGCTCTTCCCATCCAGACACCCTGAGGTCTCCTTTGCATGTCTGTGGGACAGGAGCACTTGAGCAGGAAGAACTCAGGAGGTGGCTACAGCATCCATCAACACCAAGGCAACAAGCAGTTTGGGACTGAGAAGGTGGGCTTTCTGTACAAGAAAAGTGATGGGTAAGTGACTCAGGTTAAGTGACTTGCCCAAAATCACACAGCTAGTAAATGACATGGTTGGGGAAGCTGCCTAAAGCGACTGTTCTTATCACTTATACAGACCCTGAGGGTTCTGAACCTTCTACCCTGGCAATGCAAAAATCATCAAATCTTGGGTTGTCCAGGACACCTGAGCATGTGAACTTCTGCTAGAGGTCACTGGTTGTTCTTAAAGAAGAATAGCAGCAGCTAACACTTACTGAGCATTTACTCTGCCCTCAGAATTCTTGACCTTTACAATATACTGAGTATGCCTAGAAATGAAAGTATTAACTGTGCCTTGATCCCTGGAGTAAAAAAAAAAAAAAAAAAACTGTGAAATTCAAAAGTCCTTATGGGATATAGTCATGTTTCTACTTACTGATCAGATTTTATCAGAGAAGAATAACTTTGAACAAGAAGCCAATGAATATTTAACTCTTATGGGATAAGAGTCAGGTAGCTTTGGATCATGGATTTACAAATTTTATTTTTGGGATCTCAGTACTGATCTTGCTTAGTTTAACCATAATTCATCTGTTGTGGTCAAGGTCCTGTTCCTCCTCTCAGTCTAGGAGCTCCCTAAGGTTATGAGCTGTGTCTCCTATCTCAGGCTAGAAGGTCTCAGAGGGCCAAAGTCACATCGTCCCCTTAGAATAAGGATTCCCAGAGAGTGGGTCTATGTTTCTCCATCAGACTGGGAGCTTCCTGAGGACAGGACTGTGTCTCCTCCATCAGACGGGAGCCCCAGAGAGTAAGGGTGTAGGAGTCAGGGAAGGGAAGAGGTAAAGAGATGTGGCTAGAAGTAATCCAGGTGGGGCCAGGACTGTTTTCTGATACAGGGGAATTAGGTGTGAGCCTTGGATCACTGTCTTTCTATCCCTCTGGGCCTTAGAATTCGAAGAGTCTGGCAGAAAAGGAAGTGTGGGGTCAAGTACGGCTGCCTGACCATCTCACACAGCATGGTGAGGCCTGGAGGCGGTGGGGTCTCAGGGCACTGTGGGTCTTCTCCCCTGGTGTTCTGAGCAGACAGATGTCAAGCCTTCCCTCCAAAACTGGCCCCCAAACTTGGATCCAGGGAGCTGGAGACCCCTTGGGGGAGGAAGGAAGGGATCCAAAGCCCCCAACCTAGTCTCTGTCTATACCTGTGTCTTTGAGTTGCTGGGAGAGGGAAAACATAAACTGGAACGGGATTATTACACCCGCTTAACAGGTTGGGAAACCAAGGCTTAAAGAGTTTGGGAGGCCCAGAGGGTAACATGTACATTCTCCACCCCCAAATTGCTATAGATAAACCGGCCCCCAGTCAAGCTGACGCTACTGACGTGCCAAGTGAGGCCAAACCCTGAGGAGAAAAAGTGCTTCGACCTGGTGACCCGTGAGTCCCTGCCCCCTTCTCCTACAACTGACTTGCCAGCCCCTGGGAGGCTTTAATTAGGGCTTTATGCCCAATTCTACACAGGTCATCAAATAGCTGCTACTGCAGGCATAAGACTCCTTAGGCCCTGGACATTCTTTTTAGAGACTTCACACCACATCACATTAAATATTAAAATGCGCATTAAACATTAAAATTTTTTAAATGTGATTATTTATGTAAAACATATTTGAATGAATTTGGGTAATCTGGCTTTTGAAATGATTATTTCTTTAAATTTTTCGCTTTCACCCTTTGGAGCCTTTAGTGCCAGGCTTTATGTGAGGGCAGGCCTGGAGAGAAAGACCTAGATCTCATCTTAGGGGAGCTCTCTAGCAGGGGCATAAGGTGGGGACCCAGGATTGTAAGATGAGGGGGCATGTCCAGAGGATAGAGGTGCAGATATAGCCCCATGGAAGATTAGAGAGAGGCAAGGCCTTCCCTGCTGTGGGGAATCAGGAAAGGCTGCTTGGAGGAAAGAGCACTTGAGTTTAGCCTTGAAGGACACAGAATGTAGAGTTTGGGAAGGGACATTTCAGGAGACAGGATTGGCATGGAAGTGGGAGAGAGTGTCTGGTCAGCTCAGCCATAGTGGAGAGTTCATATAGGAGTGGTGGGAGATGAGGACTGGGAATGGCTCTTAAAGGTTCAGGCCTTATTTTCTGGCAATAGGGAGCCCTGGGGGGGTCTTGAAGCAGGGGCATGGTGTGATTAGAGCAGAGCCTTAGGCACAACAGCTGAGTAGCTGGTGCAGGCTGGGGCAAGGGGAGAGAAGGGAAGCAGGGGACCAGACAGGAGCTTGACTGGTGGCAGTTGGTTTGGAGGATATGCTGCCTCTGAGTTGAGTGGGGTTCTGTGCCCTGGGAGACCTCCCTGAGCCTGGAATGAGGGCTTCACATGGAGGGAGCCTTGTTGGGATCCTACTCTGCAGGTGACTTCTGAGAAACTGTCCTGCTGCTAGCCACTGTCATCACCCTCCCCATTCCTAGCTTGGGAGGGTCTGACCCCACAGGGACAAAAGCTCCATCTGGACCCAGCAGTTTGGGAGTAGAGGGTTCCAGGATTTCTGTGGGTCAGATGTCCCATTCTCTCCCCAATAGACAACCGGACGTACCATTTCCAGGCAGAGGACGAACATGAATGTGAGGCGTGAGTGCCTTGTCAGCCGCCCTTGTGGGTGGGGACAGGGGAGCTTTATCTCTTCCCAGCCTCTCATCCCCACCCCACCCCACACACTCTCGGCAGGTGGGTGTCAGTGCTGCAGAACAGCAAGGACGAAGCCTTGAGCAGCGCCTTCCTCGGGGAGCCCAGAGGCAGTCTAGGGTCCTGGGGGGGCACTGGGCTGGATGGGGAGCCCCAGGACCTCACGAAGCTGCTCATCGCCGAGGTGAAGAGCAGGCCCGGGAACGGCCAGTGCTGCGATTGCGGAGCTGCAGGTTGGGCTGGTGAGCCAGGGCGGGAGGGGGGTGGAAAGGGAGGGGAGGGGTCACAACTCCAAGCAGAAGCTGCTCTCCTCTGCAGACCCCACGTGGCTCAGCACCAATCTGGGCGTGCTCACCTGCATCCAGTGCTCTGGTGTCCACCGTGAGCTGGGCGTGCGCTTCTCTCGCATGCAGTCCCTCACCTTAGACCTGCTGGGCCCCTCCGAGTTGTTGGTGAGGGCAGGGGCGAGGCCAGAGGGACAGCTGGGGGTGTGGTTTGATCATGCTTGGGGCTTGGGCCGACTGGATCAGCCCAAACTTGTAGGGTCGTTGGGGGTGGGGTTGGGCCAAGGTGGGCTGGATCCTGATGAGCCAGAAAGAGGGTGGTCAGGGATGGGGCCTCTGAAAGCTCAGCCCTCCAGGGAGCGCTGTCCTAACCACCTGGTCTTCCCCCCCACTTTCCCTCAACCCCAGCTGGCCTTAAACATCGGAAACACGTGCTTCAATGAGGTGATGGAGGCCCAGCTACCCTCACATGGTGGCCCTAAACCCTCAGCTGAGAGTGACATGTAAGGAGATTCACCAATGGAAGGGTGTTCTGGCTGGGAGATTCTGCCTCCCGGGAGCCCAGGGTCTAGAAGGATCTTGGATCAGGAGTCTGGGGAGAGGGGAGTCTCGGATCTGGTAGTCTCCAGGATGTGATTCTGGGGAAAAGGAGACCTGTATTTCCTGTTGTATGGTTCCAGGGGTCAGCTGAGTGTAAATGGTCTTTGCTCTGAGATCCCATGGTTGCTTTTGGTAGGAGCACCCGCAGGGACTACATTGTGGCCAAGTATGTGGAACACAGGTTTGCCCGCCAGTCCCCATCTGATCCTCAGAGACTCAGGACAGCCATTTGCAACAGGGACTTCCTGTCAGTACTGGAGGCCTTTGCTAGTGGGCAGGACTTCGGACAGCCTCTGCCAGGGCCTGATGGGCAGGTAAGAATCCCCTCCAAAGACCACTTATAATCCACCTGCACTCACATACTCCCCAGTTCTCCTCCAGGATTAGCTGTGACTCCCATCTGCCCACCTCTGGCATTCACTCAAATCTTGGCCCTCAGAGAGGTAAATGGGGAAGTAGCCCAGCTCCAGTCAAGCAGGCCTGGGCGGGAATCCTGGCTGTGTCTTTTCCTAGCTGTGTGATCAAGGCAGGTTACTTAACTTCTCTGAGCCTCATTTCCTCATCTGTAAAATGGGTTAATAACAGCACCCACAGGGTTGAAGTAAGAACTAATTAATGTATGTAAAGGGCCTAGTGCATAGTGGGTGTACAATAAATGTGAATTTCTTTTTTTTTTTTTTTTTTTAATTGAATAGCCTTGGAAATGGCTACAAGTAGGTCTGATTAGAGCAGGGAAAGCCATCTCGTTGGCTATTCCCGTAACAAACATCATGTGAGCAGGGAGAAAGGATATGGATATCAGAGATATTTGAAAGAGTAAATGGACAGGAGTTGCATACTGATTGGACATCTGAAATTGGTTGTCTTTGAGCTATTTGATATCATGGTGGGCTGTCCAGTGGGCAGCAAGAGTGCAGCATTTGGGTTAGGTAAGAATTTGGTACAGCCTATACATGAGTGCTAGCAGAAAGCATGAGGTTGTTGAGGTCTCAGGGGCAGTGGGAGCAGAGAGAGGAGCCCAGGGCCAAGAACCAGGTTCGAGAAATGCTTTCTGTTGAGGACAGAGGAGGAAGAACCATTGAAGGAAACAATGAGAGAATGGGCCTTCGCCTTCCTCCCAACCATGAGGTTCCATCCGTTCAGTCTTATCTCTCAGGGGTTCTGGCAGCTTCATATCAGGTGCTGGGGCAGCAAAAGTTCAAAAGGGTAACGTTGGGTTAGGGGCAGGTGACCTGGGGGGAAACTCAGAGGTGTGGTGGATGTGTATTCAGGCACCTGGAGAGCTTGCCTTGCACTTGGCTGTCAAAGTTGCCAACCAGACCTCCCTGCCCCTGGTGGATTTCATCATCCAGAATGGGTAAGAACCTCCCTGCCCATCTGTCCACCTCCTCACACCCTCCCTTCTTTCCTTCCTCTTCTTCCACTCTCCTCCCTCCTTTTCGCTCCCTCTTTTTACCCCTGACTCTGACCCCCTCACGTGGCTGTTTCTCTTCCTTTCTTCTGGACCCCCCACTGTCACCTACAGGGGTCACCTGGATGCCAGGGCTGCAGATGGGAACACTGCTTTGCACTATACCACCCTCTACAACCAACCTGACTGCCTCAAGCTGCTACTGAAGGGGAGAGCTTTGGTTGGCACAGGTGGGGCTCCAACACCTCCATCAGACTCCCATTCCCAACTGCCCCTCCTGTGGGACTTCCTGCCTTTTTCTCAGACAAAAAGCACTGATAACAAGTGTGGACTTTGCAGACTTGGGTTGTAGACTTAGCTTGCTTCTGATCACTTTTGTGACCTTGGGGGTTTGTCATTCATCTCTTGAACCTCAGCTTCCTCATCTGTGAAATGGGAATAATACCACTGACCTAGTGGGCCTGCTGAAAGGATAGAATAATGTTTCTGAAAGTACCTAGCCAAATAAATATTAGATGAATAATCTGAATGATAGAGATTATAATAGCCACCATTTATTGTTTAACATGTGTCCAGTAACATGCCAAGTGCTTTACACACAATAATTAGTTTGATCCTCCCAACAACCTTGTCAGGTAGTTACAAGTATCATATTCATTTTATAGATGAGACAATTAAGGCCCAGAGAGGTTAAGTAACTTGCCCAAGGTCACAAAGCCAAGAAGTGGTAAAACCAGGATTCAAACCCAGACATTCTGATTCCAGAGGCCAATCCTAATCTCTAAGCTGTAATGTCTCTGACCCTGACCATGACCCCTGACTTTACTCCCTCACAGTGAACGAGGCAGGAGAGACAGCTCTGGACATAGCCAGGAAGCAGCAGCACAAGGAGTGTGAGGAGCTGGTGAGGAAGAGGAGTCCCCTGATCCTTTCTCTCTCCCTGCTGAGCCCCTGACCCTCTGAACTGCCAAGCCTTTGTTTTTGGCAGCTGGAGCAGGCCCAGGCTGGGACCCTTGCCTTCCCTCTGCACGTGGACTACCCCTGGGGAATTTCCACAGAGCCTGGTTCTGACAGTGAGGAGGATGAGGAAGAGAAGGTGGGTCCTAGCCCCTGCCCCTCAGGCTTCTAGATGGCAAGAGGAAAGAGACATATGGGACCTGGTGTGGGTAGGGGGAGGGCTGAACTGGAGGAACGAGGCTGTTCTCCTTTCCACACTTTTGTCTCAGCAGCGCTGCCCTCTGAAGCCCCCAGCCCAGGCCCGGTGGGCCGGTGGGAGGCTGGACATCAGCAACAAGACCTATGAGACTATCGCCTGCCTGGGACCAGCCACCCCTCAGAGCCAGAATGAGGACTGTCCCCCACCTTTGCCAGTGAAAAACTCTTTTCGGACCGTGGTCCATGGGCGTGCGGGACATGCCAGTGGAGGTACGGTTGGCTGCCCAGAGAGATGCTCATCATAGCATTTATTGATGGCCTATTTTATGCTCGGACAGTCACCTCTCAGGCAGGGTTATCATCTTCCCTTTACAGGTAAAGGGACAGAGATGTTAAGTAACATGCCCAAGATCCCACAGCTAATAAATCTCCGTGTGGGATTCAAACCCAGGTCTGTCTTATTCCAAATTCGTCAGTGCTTCACCTAAATAAACAGAGAGAGGAGTTTATTGAGTATCTACCGTATCTTCAGTCCTTTGAAGGCTACTAAGACATAGTCTAGTGGGGGAGATAAAAACTGGAATGCAATTCGTTATAATACAAGGCACAGTGTGATATAGAATGCAAATCCCAAAAGGACAGGGACTTCAAGTGTTTTGTTGGCTACTATTTTTCCAGCAACTAGCACAGAACTTGGCTGTTTTCAAGAACTATTTGTTGAATGAATGAACAAGCTTATTCTGGAAGGTTAGGGGAGGGAGGGACCATGTTCTGTTGGGAATGGGAGGTGGTTTAGGAAGGCTTCCTGGTGGGGGTAGAATCTGAGCTGAGCCTGAGGAATGGACAGGAGAGTCCAGACTGAGGAGAGGGTGTGCACAGAAGCAAAAAAATGTCCACATGGCCCTGGCTGTTGTGCGTGAATGCTCCAGCTGAAGGAGAATGCTGGGGGGCCTTGGGGAGTGGGCAGTTGGGAGGGAACCATAATAGATCCTAGAGGTCTAAGACTGCTTTAAAATTGAGCACAGGGCTGGCTGGTTAGTTCAGTTGGTTAGAGTGCAGCCTTGTAACACCAAGGTCAAGAGTTCAGACCCCCATACCCGCCAGCCACCAAAAAAATAAATGAATGAAATAAAATTAAGCAGAGTAAGTGATAAAGACAGGCTTTATCAATTCTGATTCCAGATTGTTCTGAAGTCCCCAGCCTGAGTCTGGAGCCCCCTGAGGCTTCTGAGAGCCTGAGCAGTCCAGCTTCCTACTCCTCCAGCCTCACAAGTCCTGTGGAACCTGGGAGTCCCAGCCAAGCCCTGCCCAACTCTGAGGAGGGCCTTCGGGAACCCCTAGGCACTTCCCGACCCAGCCTGACATCTGGGACCACCCCTGCAGAGTTCTATCCCCCTGTTAGGTTCAGGTTGGTGAGGGCCCAGCTGTGCAACCTGGACAAGTCTCCTGACCTCTCTTAGTATCCATTTATTTCCCCACCTCTAAATAATACCCGCCTAAAGACTGGGCTGTGTTCTAGCCCTGGAGCCCATGCCTTCTGCAGAAATGCTGGACCTTGGGGGAAGGGTGATTGGACCCTTTCCCCCTTCACACACCTGCTCCCAAGTCCAGCCTGGAGAGCTGGGGAGGAGCCGGGAACCCTGGCTGTTGAAGCTGGAGTAGAAAAGATTTAGCGCCACCTCACCTGTGTGGCTTATTCCTTCCTCCAACCCAGGATCCAGTTTTCTCCCTTCCTTGCAAACCCTTTCAGTCTGGGGTTTGGGGAGAAGAAGACTTGGGAATATCCCCAGAGCCCTCTGGAGATCAGTTCCAGGCATCTTGGGCCTGTGATAGACCCAGGGGCCTTGTTGACTGTCTACCCACCATCCTAAGCCCCCATCCCCGTTCTATTCCTGAGCCCATTCTCCCCACTCTGAGGGGCTCTCTGGACACCAGGGTCACGTTGGCCTTTCCTTGCCTTCCAGCTCTGAGAGCACTCGCTCCTATCGGCGGGGTGGCCGGAGCCTAGAAGACGGTCTCTCAGCCAGGCAGCCTGTGCCCAGAAGGAACATGCCGGTAGGAGCTCCAGGATTGTGGTTTGAGGGGTGGTAGCAGGGCGTCTGGGAGGCAGAGTCAGTCAAGAGTAGGCCATGGGGTGGGAGAACTCTCTCCATGATCGGGGTACATATGTGCCCAGGCAGCCACGGTTTGGCCAGTCCCTGTCCTGGTGCTCCTCTTTCCCATTTTAGCCCAGGGCTGGGTGAAGCTAAGTAGAGCCCAGGCCTTGAGGGAGGCAGAGGTGACAAGGCCCAAGCTCTGGCTGCTGCCCAGGAGAGGATGAGCAGAGCTGTGTCAGCCAGGCCAGTCACTCAGAAGAGGCAGGATTAGGGTGGCTGTGGACCAGCCCTTGGTTTCCCTAACTTTCCCCTTGTACAGGAGTCTTCTGGAATCTGAGGGTACTTCCAGATGCCAGGCATAGAGGGATGTGACAGGGACAGGGCAAGAGCTGTTATTCTTAATCCAGCTTCTCCCTACTGATCACACAGTCTCTAACAATTAGATATCTTTTGTTGAACCCGGGAGTGGGCAAAGATCAGAGCCAGCTGTGTTGGGAAGGAAGCCTCCTTTATCTCTTGTTTCCTATAGATTCCTCAGGGATGGCATTGTTTGTGCTGTGAGTGGGGGATGGCAGGGGCAGGAACTGGGTCTCTCTGGGGAATTGTCATCTTCAGTCCATCAAAGTCAGGCACGAGATACAAATCTGTATCTACATCCAGGTTCCACTATTGCCCTGAAAATCCTTCTCCTAGCAGCGGGCTGGCCCGGTGGTGCACTGCTACAGTGTGCCGCTTGGGAGCGTGGTGGCGCTCCCGCCGAGGGTTCGGATCCCACATACAGACCGGTTCCTGCTCACTGGCTGAGCGAGGTGTGGGAGCAACACCGAGGGTTGTGATCCCATTGCTGGTCCCGGTCCGGTACGGGCGCCACACTGAGGGTTGCGATCCGTTGCCAGACACGAAAAAAGACAAAAAGGAAAAAAAAAAAAATCCTTCTCCTGGTCTTCAGTTAATGCCTGTTGTGGCATGTATAATAGTAAAAGCTCAGGCTTTAGAGTGAGGACACTTTGGGCAAGTGGCTTTACTTCTTCATGCCTCAGTTTTATCATCCATAAAATGGGAATAATTTAATCTGCCCATAATAGGACAGTTGTGAAACTGAGTGAGATAAACACCTGATTCGTAGTAGGTGCTTAGAAAATGTCACTTTCATCCTTCTCTCTCCAGGCTGGCTTCACTGAAGGAGATGGCTCAAGGGCTGGGGTTCTCCCAGCAAGTTCAGTACAACTTTTGCAAGACTAGCTCCTTGCTGACCCCTGCATGCCCCATGCTGGACCCCAGTGTTCAGAGCTGAGACCTGAGCCCATAAGACTGGGGAGCTGAGGCGTTCATTCTCTTGGGTCTTGCTCTCTCTGTCCCTTGTGCCTCTGTGGCTGGCCTTCTTCCTGCCATGGGCCATGCCCCTACCAAGGACAATGGGCCCTTCCATATTAGGGCCGATGGCAGTTCTTTCCCCTCTATCTAATTACCTCCCATGGGCAAGGAAGCCCCTGTGGCTGGAGCTGAGCACTCCTGAGCTAGCTGCAGCTGCAGAACTCTCAGTCCCTCATCAGACCAGGACTGTGTTTCTCCCATCAGTCTGGAGGCTCTACAGGGCTCACCAGCCTTCCATCATCATTCTCCACATCTAAATCAGGGACTCTGCCAGACTAGGGACTGTCTTCTCAGCCATTTATTAGTCCAGTATTCTTTTATTGAATTCCAACTCTATGTCCAGGCCTGTATTAGGCATTGTGGATGCCACATAAGACAAGGACTCTACAGCTGTGGTCCCTTGCTGGAAAGCTGGTGGCAAGGGTTGGGCTTGGGAATGAGCCAGGCCATATTCCAGAGGATAGTTGTGGGCTCAGGGGCAGGAGCAACAATCAGCTGTTTATACCTGTATGACCACTGAAGTTGTCTACAGCCCATATCCATTCTGGTTGGTCAGTATCCATGCTGTACTGACTATTAAATAAATATTCTGAATGTCACTCCTTTTGAGGGACAGCACAGCCTTCCCTGGGATCTCTCCTAATTTCCCCGGCCAGGAAGTAGAGGAGGACTCACACACACATTTGCCTACTCTTCTGATTTAGCAGGAAGGAAAGGAATGATCTGGGATGATTGATCCCCGCTTCTCTCCTCCTTTTCTTGGTCAACTCAGGAGGCTTCCAGCCTCAGGGGAGTGAAGGGCAAAAATGAGAAAGGAGAGTGATAGAAATGGGAGGACAGAGACTTCAGGGTTCTCCTTCCCAGGCTAGAAATTGCACCATTGCTCAGCCTGATTAGAAAACAGATGCACCTAAGCCATCATCAGCCACTAACATCTCGATTTTGTGGTTGCTGGGTCCTGGGCCCTGCTAGGGATGGGGAGACCAGAGAGTGCCAAAGGCCAGTGCAACGGTCTGGCCTGGGCGGCTGGGCTGTTTACCTGGAGACCCGACTGTTTTTTGGTCCTACAGGAACATGGTTGGCTTTTTAGCCCCCAGTGTCGGTTTTGTTCATCTCAGACTTATTTCACTCATCTCTAATAAAGGATTTTTGGGGTAAATTCCAGTGGTTTCATTTATGTGATCTGAAGATAGGGAAGGGAAAAGAATCTTGGGGCTTAAAATTCTTTCTCTGGACCTGACAAGGGAGCCAGCTTGGTGTGGAGCAACCAGGGTGTTTTCGCCCCAGGGGACATTTGACAAAGCTGAGACAGTTTTGATTATTCACAACTAAAGGTTGCTACTGGCATCTAGTGGACAAAAGTCAGGGATGCTGCTACACATCCTACAGTACACAAATCAGCCACCACAATGAATTATCCTGTCCAAAATGTCAATAGTGCTAAGGCTAAGAAACCCTGGTGTGAGGCCGGCCCGTGGCTCACTCGGGAGAGTGCGGTGCTGATAACACCAAGGCCACGGGTTCGGATCCCACATAGGGATGGCCGGTTTGCTCACTGGCTGAGCGTGGTGCTGACAACACCAAGCCAAGGGTTGAGATCCCCTTACCGGTCATCTTTAAAAAAAAAAAAACAAAAAACCCTGGTGTGGAGGAAAGAACACCGGACTAGGAGTCTGGAGATGTGAAGTTTCGGCTCTGCCATAGTCCCTATCCCAGTCCCTATTGATTACCCCGAGACAAAGACTTGGGAGGAAAGTAGTTTGTAAGGTGACCCCAGGAAGCATAGTGAGGAGGTAGAGAAGTGAAAAAGAGGAGGTCAAAAAGCCATAAAGGATTCGTTAATGCGAGGTTACCACTGTGGGCAACAAAGGCTTAGTCTTGTTCAGGACATTTGAGAGATGGTATTGATTAGAATGTGCCTTCAAGTTGTTCCATCGAGAGTAAAAAAATGTATTTACCACAAACTCTGGTCCCATTGGTGGGGGGGCAGTCCTTTCTGGGGGTATCAATTCGCTGCCTGCCCCAAAGCTCTTAGAGTGATGTGGGAAGCTGACAGAGGCATGTCCGTGAATTGTCTGCAGGTGGACAGGTAGGTGGAATGATATGGGGGGTACCAGTAGGATCTGATATAGTCCAGTGTTGCAACCCTGAGTATCATCCTCTTTGGGCCCCAGTCTTCCCATCTGTACAATAAAGGGGTTGGACTCGATGTTTTCTTAGGGTCCTTCAAGACCTGATGATGTAGGAGTTTTGGCTTTTTTTGACATCACAAAGCTTAGGATGCGGACTGGATGGAAGTTTGAGGAAAACCAAATCTTTTTTTTTTTTTTTTTTTTTTTTTTTTAAAGAAAGTAGTCCTAAGTAACCACAGGCAGCTGTCCTTCAACCCAGAGGGGCTTGGTTGGTGGTTGGCCAAGAGGCCTTCCAGAATCCCAAACCAATAAAGTGTAACCTCCTAGATGTGTCCTACAACTCTGTGTGGTCAGGTCCCACCCACCGCTTCTCACCTCTGTGCTGTGGCCACACTGATTTTTTGGTTCCTCCAACACTGACATGCCAAGCACCCTCCCATCCCTAAAGTTTGTACATTCAGAACTCCAGGAAGACTGTTTCGTTCCTCTCTGGATGCTCAGGGCTAGAACTGCCTGGCACATAGTAGGTGCTCAATAAATGTATGTTGAATAAATGAATGCTTCCTCCTCTCTGTATTAGTTCATTTCTGTGGCTTATAACAGAATACCTGAAACTGGGTAATTTACACATGAATGAAATTTATTTTTTACAGTTTCAGAGGCTGAGAAGTCCAAAGTCCAGGGGACACATCTGGTGAGGGCCTTCTGTGTGGGAAATCTCTACAGCCACACAGGGTATCACATGTTGAGAATGAGCTGAGCAAGAGAGAACTAAACTTCTCACTTGATCTCCTTATAAAGCCATCAGAACCACTCCCATGACCACCCATTACTCCGTGAATGGATCAATCCATTCGTCAGGGCACAGTCCTCTCAGTCACCTCTTAAAAGACCCCATTTTTCAATTACCATAATAGGATTTCCCACCCTCTTAACTCTTACAATGGAGGTCGTCTCCAATGCATGAACTTTTGGGGGACACATTTGACCCATAGCACTCTCACATAAACACTTGCTTTGTTTTCCCCCAACTCTCACTCTGCACTGTAGCCCAGTTTGGACCTCATTACATCAGTGAAGATGATACCCTAACTGGTACAGAGCCCCTCAAATGTGTCTTTAAGGTGTCCTCCACTTCTTACTGACCCTCACCCCAGCTGTGATAAATACAGTCATTGATCATACCCGTATTTGCTTAAGGTTTCTCTTGCCCATAGACTTGAGTCTCAAGCTTGCTGGGACTGAGTCTGTCTTGCTCATTGCTTGGACACTCAATGCATATTTGTTGAATGAATGTGGACCATTTTTCTTGAGTCCCCGCTCCCCTCACAGGTAGATCATTTTCTGTCCATTAAACTCACTCCTGGGCCGGCCTGTGGCTCACTCAGGAGAGTGTGGTGCTGTTCACACCAAGGCCCCGGGTTCAGATCCCATATATGGATGGCCGGTTAGCTCACTGGGTGAGCGTGGTGCTGACAACACCAAGTCAAGGGTTAAGATCCCCTCCCCAGTCATCTTTAAAAAAAAAAAAAACCCCCCCCTTTTTTTTTTTTTTAATTTTTTTTTTTTTTTTTTTTTGGTGGCTGGGCAGCATGGGGATCCAAACCGTTGATCTTGGTGTTATAACACCTTAACACCCTGCTCTAACCAACTGAGCTAACTGGCCAGCTCTCCTTTTAAATCTTTAAACCTTTTATTTTTCTTTCCTTACTGAGGACAGTTTTTCAATTAATGAAGCATTAAACAAAACAAAACAACTACTGTGAAGGAAAAAGAACCTGCAAATAAATTAGGAATTGGCATGTTCAGGAGCTCAGGTTCCTAGAAATTTTATGATCCAAGTGGCTAAGGGTAGAGGCACTACTGTCTCCTA